GAGGCTCCAGGATGAAGAGGAGGCCGGGATTCAAGCCAGGATCCAAGCACGTAGCTCCGGGCAACCGGTAGCCTCTGGCGATCTCAGGTGGGAAAGGGCTGACAGGAACACCCCACAGTTGACTGGAAGGTCGAACAGAGGCGTGCCGAGATCGAGCGAGACATGCAAAGGGATCTCGCCGAGGGCGAGTTGGACTTCGAGGCACCATTCATCCTCCCCGACACCGAGCTTGTTCCCGTGGAAAACAACGGGGAAACCAACTTCGTCGCCGCCGGAGAAACAGTTGACGAGGCGCTCGATATTATCGAGGCGCTGCGCGAGGTGGAGCCTGAGGCCGAGCCCGCTGCTAGCTCCCCGCGAGGGGATGCCTCCAACTTGGAACGCACCGGTGAAGGCGAGGACCTCGTCATCGAGGAGATGTATGGCGCTCCACCGCCCGAAGAGGAGGTTGTCTTGAGCGCAGCGAGAGAGACATTCAGTTTCCGAGGCGGAGACTTTGTCCTGCGTGAGATGCCTCAGGACACGCTGCAGAAGCCACACAAGCGCCTTTGGTTTCATCATGGAGATTTGCTCTTCTTCACGCGGCTTGTTCGAGGGAATTTCACAAAAGACTTCCCTGAGCTCAAACATGATGGAGGTCTCTGGGTCAGCATTGAGAAATGCCTGGATGTGTTCAACAAGGCCCGCAAGCGTCATTGGGGTGTCCGACAAGTGGTCCAGATGGTGGCAGAAGACCGAAAAGGCAGGATGGAGATGATGGGGATAGACATTAAGAGGAAGGAAGCCATCAAACCAGGCCTACTTCCCCGTGATCATCCGCGCCACGCAAGGCCACAACGCCGCCATCGCCAAGAACCCAGACACCGATGTTGCGATTGCGTCCGCCTACTACTCCGTCCTGGACAAGTCGGAGGCCAACTCGGCAGCCGCCCGCGAGGGTGTGCCTATCGTCTGTTTGGAGGATGTCCCAAAGATCCTCTACCATCGGACGAGCCGAGACAGCTTCCAAAGCATCCTTCGGGGGGGCTTAGTCGCGGGCTCCCAGAGCAGCGGCCGGGTGCACAACTATTTCGCAACGTGCCCCGTGTCGTCGGAAGCCTATCGATCTGGAGTTCGAGCATACGCACCCGTCGAGATAAAATGGGATACGGAAAAGCTCCTCAAAAGCGGGTGCCTTCTTTTCACCACCCGCTCCGAGGGCGTGCTATGCCGTGAACCCTGTGCTCCCTCAGCAATCATTTCGATCATTGATACTGTCAAGGAGGAGGTGCTCTACTCCCTGCGCATCGATGATGCTCCTGAAGTTCCTAGTGGCTCCGCTGGATCAACATTGCCATCGTGCAAACGGCAGCTTCCCGCAAGGGAAAGCCTATCCTCAACAGATGCGCAAATGGCAGAGCCAGACGATGAGTACGTGGAAGTGGAGGTCGAGCAGGATGAGCCCATGGGTGCAACCGAGGGCGAAGTGCCTCAGCCAAGGACTCCGCCGGCTACGCGCATGACGGTGGAGGGCGCTGCTGCCAATGTCCCCGAGCCGGAGAACCCCTTCGTGATGACGGGGCCATCCATCTTCCCGTGTCCTACATGCCAGGCAGAGTGCTTTGTGGGGCAGCATCACTGCATTCGCTGCCGCCACCGCCTCGCAGACTCAAAAGGGGAAGACCGACGCTTCATTCAAGCCGCCCACCGTCGCAACCGGATTCTAGACAGGTTGGCAACTGTCGGCGTGTCGGTCCACAACATCAGTCCCTATGAGCTGCAAAAGCTGGCGAGACACACAAAAGAGGAGGAACGCGGACAGATGAGCTATGAGGCTCACACAATTCGCAAGGCGAAGGACAAGGTGCAGCGGGCACTCAAGATCAAGGGCACCAGCTACAGGAGTTTGGCGGATCGGTTCGACAATGACCCAACATTCGCAGCCAGACAGGCCGAGAACGGTTTGACGCGTGCAGACATGCGCCTCAAGTTTACGCCACCGGCTTCCTGCCCGCACCCGGTCGGACCCGCCAGCAAGTCATTCTTGGAGCCGGAAGTCAAGCCGATTTCCATGCCTCCCGGTCAGAAGTCAACGCAAAGCTTGTCATCTACGACGGTGTTGCCATCGAGGAGTTGAAGGCTCTGGGTTTGGCGGATGATGACACGACCGTCAACATGGGTGTGGGCTGGCACGGAACCTTCATGGATGTGTCTACTTTCGCCGGTTTGGCCCTCGGCAACGAGGATGCCCGCAAGGTGCTGACCCACCAACCTCGACGCCCTGAAGACCGAAATCCGTGATCTGATCTTGGCTAATTATGACCCAGCTCAGGCCAAGGTCCGAAGTGATCAACCGGCCCGTGCACGCCAATCCGAGATTTCAAAAGCCAAATCAAAGGCTGCTCCTGCTGCTCCACGCCAGCGCTGGACGGATGCAGACTGGGAGCGTTGGCAGTACGGAGGCTACTACGGCCGTAACTGGTATTCGGCTGCTGAATGGCGCCGTTACTGGGGCCAGTGATTTCACAGCGTGATGTAGTGCAGGACCCTGTAGAAAGATGCTAGCTTGCTACACTCGCCACCAAAGCACAGCCGAAGCTACCCGCAAGGGTATGCCTGTTTCTTTTGAGTGCTAGTGTGTGCGCCTTAGTGCTCACGCACACGGCGAGGGGGGTGTTTTTGCGCTCCGGGTAGTATAGCTACTTTTGAGGCTACTTATGTAA